GTTTTTGCTACTCTGGCATGTTGTCTCCCCAAGTTTCTGAAGTTTCATAACCAAACATAGGATGTAGGACCCTTGTGACCCTGTGGCCTTGTTATCTTAGAAAGTTGATGATTTGTGTTACCAAAAGCTCAGCCACATTTGAGGAGACATGAGGGTGGGCTCTCAGCTCTTGGATTGGTGAATCATTGATGCTCTCTAAATTAATTTAGAGCCAGACTATAAGGTATAAGGTAGGGAACACTGATCACCCCAGACTATAAGGTAGGGAACATTGTATATGCTGGCATAAATCCTCCTTCAACCTAAGCTATCAGTTAGGGATGTCAATGGATCGGGTTAAACAGTAAATCCGGCTTGACTCCATCATTTAGAATCGGGTTAAAGTTTTGATTCTGACTCAAGTTGGGTTGGATTAGGTTCGCGTTTTGGCTGATCTGCCCCTCCAGGTCTTGATGCCTTGCTTATATACGAGTATTGTTGTAACTTTTTAGCTTCTAATTCCATAGTCTTAATCCTTAGGATTCTTTTCATATTGATTTTAGTTTTTATGCTTTTTCTAATGGAAAAAAAAAACACCTTAAACCCTATAAAACAAATTCCCACTTTTAAGTTTTCAAAATGTGTTATAAAAAATACAATTGATAGTTGTGCATTAGGTCGGGCCGGTATTGGATTAAGCTAAGGGTGTTCACGGTTCGGTTAATTGAACCATGGGCAATTTTTGCAAATCGAATTGATATCACCAGTTTTTCCATTTCTCTAAACCAATACCAAACGGGTACCACTGGTTCGGTTTGACTGATTCGGTTCTTCGTTTTTTGGATTTTTTATATTATAATATATATTATATAAATATATGTGTAATATTATATTATAAATAATAAATGATATAGAATATATTATAAATATATATAATATATTTATAAATAAATTATTATAAATATAATATATGTATATATAATGAATAGATATTTATATATAATATATAGAAAATATGTGACATATATTAAAAATATATAAAATATATATATACCGGTTAGTTCAAATAACTGCCAATTTTCTTGTAGGTTAACCAAAAACCGAACCAATCCTTCGTTTTTTCAAAAATACCCGAACTGATTAAACCCTATTCGATTGGGTCAGGTTCAGAAATTACATGTTACTGAGTGGGGTAAGTTAGTACCGTGTTATCTTCTGAAAATCACTTATTTGGGAGGGAGAGGAGATAAGAGATAATCAAGTTTGTTAGCACGGTGTCCGTGTTTGCACAGAATGATTGTCATCGACAAATAGAGCACCTAAACCATTTGTGCTTTTGCTGATGTGTTGACATGAGGTATCAAGTAACCTTGCATTCGTAGATGAATCTTACTGCATTCATTTTGTCCTCTACTATACCCCATCCATGAGTGTCGAGTCATGGGCCCATAATTCATTGATGCAGACCATTCACTCAGACTCAGTGGGTCACCTCTATATTACTCATTTGCTTCCAACGAGCTTTTCTTTCGTCTCTTAACCCTGCTCAGTGTATTAATTAGGACACTCACACTAGTCCATTACTATTGTACAGGCAAAAGAATTGCAATGACAGCTTGTTTCTGGCGTGGAGAACTTATTTCATGCATCCAGCGGATTGACTCCGGACCCACTGGCCACTGGATGAGTCCTAAACTCCTACTAAAAGTTGCTCTTCTCCTTTGCCAGATATCTGTTTGATCAGAAGACCTTTATGGCTTTAACCATCTTATCTCTCCTTTATTTCTCATTTGCTCTTTTTTTCCGGCTTTGATAGATTTCTTTCCACCAAAAACCAATTAAAATGAAAAGCCAGAAAAGATACAGTTCTCAGTTCTGATATTGTGTTCACAATGAATTTTGCCTGTTAATCAGCACTCAGGAGCTTTCTGAAGATGGATTCTTTGAAAATGGGACACATGCATGGAGGAGAGTTGCGAAGGCCCAGATCCCCAACACACATCCACCAAGCTTCTGTTACTGAGTGCATTTGAGCCGCAGAAAAAGAAAAGTTCTGTACTGATGATATCTCAGTGGTCAGCACCACAACTCTGTTTCTTCGTTAACCATCAAATTTCATTACATCACCCTGTTACTAATTCTGAGATGATGAAAAGGAGGTGCTCACATGTTAACACCCGTATGTGAGCCCCTCTGTGAACCCACATTGAACCAAAAGGGGCTCACAGAGTTGTTATAATGGGAGAGAGCTGTGCAATGTTATTGCCACTCTCTTTCTTACTTAACCCTTTTTCTCTTTCTGTTTTTCCATCTCTCTCCGCTCCTTTTCTGTATTGTATGATGTATGTACCTGTCGGTGAAAGAGGGCCAGTCTTTGCATTATTTTTTCTTTTTCTTCAAACTGAGAAGTGAGAATGGCATATTATCGTTTATGCTTTGCCTTAAGAAGAAAATTGAACTGCCAGAGAGTGACTAGGCGGGAGATTTGTATTAATGAATGAATCTGTGTGATCGTTGGAAGTTTCTGCTCATTTTTGCCAGGTTCGTCTTAATTGGAAATCAACCAAAAAAAAAAATTATAAGGACCACCGTTCTTGGTTGAAAAAGCTTTCACGTAGGACAAGATTATTCCTTGATTATCCGTCATCAAACTCGCCCTATCTACATTATTTGAACGGTCTTTGCCGCAAGAAAAGGTTGACAGATTCTTCATCCTGAATTATGTGGTTCTGGAGCACTGTTTAGGTGTTTGTTATTGACTTGCAGCTACAGTTTCTTCCTACCCATTTTAGTTGACAGAGCCCTCTATTGTTGAATAATAAAGTCTTGATGACAACCCATTTGTACCACCCTGTTATCGGTCTCCTTAAACCACATTTGGATCAAAATCATCTTGAGTTGAAGGATCAAGTGGCCATTGGCCCTTGAGACCCAACATAAGGAATGCAAGTTATTTGACCAATGTATAACCACTACCATTAGATTGATTTCTTACAAAAGCCCAAGGCAAATCCATTCATCAAGTAGAGGTGGAGATAGAAACTCCACTACAGTGGACCGAGTGTGAGTAATGGTACATGAAAGTGCAAATTTAGCCACTTAATTGATGAGCAGCATGATTAGAGGTCCGTAGTAAATAAGCAACAAGAGATTAATCAGAGTCTAAGCATCGCCTTTTATAATAGCAGCTGAAATGCCCCAAGATTGAGCAAATCGAAGTGACTCAAGGAGTGTCATCTGCCATGGCTTCAGTAACCAAAGCTGAGTTGGGTGAAAAAGGGATTGCGCGAGCGCGTGGCACCATCAAAATTTATCTTTACAAATCCGTGGAGGTCTGGTCCAATGCCGCATAGATGGAGGTAAGGTTCAATATTTCGATACATATTGGGTCTCATCAGTGGCTTACCGATACACTCCTGCAGGGGATGTTTTGGGGTCTGATTTGGTTCAGGGGTAGACAAGTCTTAAACTGATCCCTCTGAACCAGTTTCAAAGAAAAAATATAAAAAGTAGAGCAAAAATATGCCCCTATCAACGTATGGACCTATATTGAGAAGTGGAGTTTGTAGAGATCTTGCTGATAGACATTGGTTTGCAAAATGATATGCTTGTTTTAAAATGTAAGTAGGACTCCAATTCTGATTGGTAAAAATTAGGGCATTCCTTGCTAGCCAAATATAGCAAGCTCTTAAGAGAAAACTTAGCTCTTAAAAACACTTGTCTGAATTAGGAACAATTGGGAAGAGCCAAGAGACGTTGCATCGTTTGCATGGATATAGTAATTGGTAAACCTATGATGCTGGAACGGAAAGGTACGATATCGAAATAACTTTATCTAATCGAGCCCCCCCAGCTCTTAGAAACGCTTGTCACAACCAGGAAGCATTGGGAAGAGCCAAGACATGTTGCATCATCCACATGGCCCAACGTCATAGTAATTATCAAGTAGGGTAAACCTATGATGCCAGAATGGAAAGGTATGATACCAAAACAACTTGATGAATGTCATGTGATTGGTTACTGCTTGTATGATACCAGTCAATCGATTATAAATTTTTCCCTATCAATTTATTCCCATTTCTCTTGTGCAAGGTTGTTTATGAGAAGGTACTCTCTTGTTAGACTCTTTGTTGGCTTTACAAGTTAACAAGGGCAAAGTCGTAATAGCTGTTGGATTGGCATCTATTAACTCCCTTACATACACGGGGAAATCTATAATGTGTTCCACTATTTTGCTTACAAATTGGCTTAGTTGGGCAATCAATGTTTTATTTCAACGAAGGACCAAATTTTATGGAGAAAAAGCTGGCAAACTAGCAGAGGCTTAGTTTGGAAGGACTACAAATACAAATATATAGAGTGCCAAACCTTGTATTTTGTATGTATTTGTACTCTTTCCAAACTAAGCCTTTTAAAGGGAACCTCCTCCTTCCATTCGAAGTTTCCAACTATTGAATCAATGGCTAAATCTAGATAAGAAAAGAGTCCAAATGTAAACTGTAACGAAGAATTCACACTACACTTAAGATTCTTCAATTATTCATATTTCAATCACTCGCCGAATGGTCATGGTCCAGATTTCAGAACCAAACAACTGGAATTCAAATTCGAACGTCTGGGTCGGCTATTGAATGAACTCATTGGCTCTTACTGTTAAAACTTCCACAGGACGGATTGTTAGGTGCGACTAGGAACATTTTGTTTCCAAATTTAAAAAAAAAAAAAATGCCTTACTTTGACTAGTGCAATTTGGGCTGGTAGGGTGAGTCGTCGGACCAACCAAACCTTACCTCACCTGAGCATAAGGTCACAAACACTATATTGACACTGCTAGAGTTGGTCTGAAAAGAAGAGGGATTACACAAGTAATATGTGTTTCCTAATGTATACAGATGCAATAAGTAAATTGCATCGCATCCCAAAATCACCTTTTGGGCAACTACTTTCCGATTATTTCGGCAGTGCCAACTGGCTCAGTCGCTATGGTCTCTGACTGGTTGTATGGAGACTTGGGGCAACAATTTGTATGGAATATTAACTATATTTCATGTCAATTTATCATCTTATCAAGTAAAAATAAGTGTTGTATACAACACAAGGACAATACCCAAAAAACTACTTTAGTCCACTTTTATATCAAACACCCTCACACAATTATCAGCACCACAAGAACCAAGCTGTAGGGATCCTCCATCTCCACTCTCTTCAGAGTTCCTCCATGCCAAGCACTGCACAGTGGAAACATGACACATGAATGGGTTGAACCTTACTGCAAGAGAAGCATTGAATTTTGGCAGTGCTGTACTTTCACCATCAGTTCTTCCAAAAAGGCTCCAAAGTTCGATTAGTCCACTTTCCATTCCAACTGCAAGAAACCCATGATTCATAGAACGATTGCGACCAACCCAAGATAAGGCAGTTACACTGCTGTTGAACTGTGGCAAAGCCATGAGCTGCTTCACTGAAGATCCATTCTCTACTACAGCCCAGATCTTCACAGTTTTGTCCCTTGAGCCTGTTGCAAACTCATAGCCAAATGGATTCCATGAACATGTCCATATTATTCTCTTGTGCGCCTCCTGCCTTGCAACAAGATGATATGAGACTTCATCTGCCCCTGGGGTTTCAAAACCAATGAGTCAGATGTACTATATCATGCTTAACTAAAGATAGTCTCAACAAAGGCAATAGGAATGTTCCTCTGGAGGAGGATCAAGAGAATATGAAGAGAAACCCTATAATATAATGTGCTGAAAATTCAATTCTTTTAGTTATTTCTTGCATTTATTTGAAGGCATCATTCTTGACTAGTAGTACATCTGCCTTCATGGCAACATTTAAGAAATAAAGATAAGCTATATGGAAGAAAAAAAACACTAAGATCCTACTGACAGCAAATTATTAGACAGTTCTGTAAACTAAAGAGACCAATTTACCTGTCCTTTTAATTGAAAAGACTGAGAATTGACGATCCCTTGAGACAGCTAAAAGTAAAGAGTCATCCCAACAAAACTCTATCTGTGTAACTGTTAAGCTATGAGACTGCAGGCGACCCACTGCCTTCCAGGACCCCACCTGCCATAGCCAGATTTCTGCCACCATTGCTGATTGTGCCTGCGAGATAGATGGTAATTTACAGTGACTGGATAAATTAATACAGCATAGTCCAACAATAATTGAAGAACAGTTACATGTGAAAAAAAACAAAATATGGATGTAGCCTGCCTATTTAAGTATACTATTGTTTAATTACCAGCACCCTTCAGAATGCATTTTTCTTTTAAATGCAAGAGGCAAAAAAAATTCATATACAAGGGATAAAGATAAGAATCTGATGGGAGGGAAAAGACTCGAATGCTCATAAAACCTATTGATGTGATTTCTAGCATTGAATGAACCAAATCATTAACATCAATGGATAACGTAGAGAACAGGACTGTGGATTTGTGAAATCTCCACTTAATTGAATTGAACTTTATTCTATTATGACATCCATTAGCATTAAAAATTTAGCACACAAGCAATTTGATGTGTAACCAATGAATGCTTGTGACAGCTACAAGAAGTGCATGAAAAAATATAGCAAATGGAAACAGAAGCTTAAAATTAAAATAAGTAACCAGCAACGAGAGAATACTTGATTACCAGTTCTGGTAGGAATAATTATAGAATGGTAAAACAGATAGCAATTCAGAAAAAAGTCCCCAAGGGAGTAAAGCTGAGTGAAAAATAACCTGTGTCTAGTGTTGCATAATAATCCAAATGGATTCCAATACGAGTCATCTTTCTAAGACTTGGAATGAAATGCTGTGTAATACAGCAACACAAATTAAAGAAATGGAAACAGAAGTTCTAAGAAGAAAATTGAATACCTTACATGACGAGGCAACAAGCTTCCCCTGATGATCACAGCATAGAGAATATAGCTCATTCCCATGGCCATAAAGCTTATGTGACTCTGGCCATAGTGTATGCCATGCTAGTTGCTCTTCAATAGGGGGCTCAGTCAAAACAACTGGCACTGCATCCGGAATTGTTTCCAGAGTGTCTAAAGCATCATTGCTGTTTCTGTCTGAGACCTTGTTTGCAGCTACATAGACAAGTAACCCGTTTAGTCATACTTGATTGGTTAGCATATAATGCCTACAGAGAGTTGCACAGAATTTGGATCTTGCATCAAAGGGTAGCAGAAGTGATGTCCTATCAAATGCCAATGATACCAAATCCCAAAAAAAAAAAAAGAATGACGATGCTTCTCTTTTAATATAAAAAGAGAATCCAGGAACAGACATTCCAGAAATGCATAAGTTTGTACTTGATGGCAACAACTCATGTTTGATAATATCATATCCCACATACTAATGGAAAAAATCAAACTTAGGCACTCTATATTTTCTTTAGAAGTTTTAGAATACATCAGTAAGGTGTGAATTAACTGATCATACAAGAAGCGTTTGGAGAAAGAGTCTTTTCTATTTTTCTTCAAAAAGTAGATGGCATTTTTCATCTGATGTATAAATTTGTAGGGTTCATTTTAATTTAAATTACTTTTTTTAGAGAGGAAAAGTGGGGAACACAAAGTCACAAACTCCAATAATCACTAAAGCAAATAAAATAAAAGGAATTATTAGACAACAAAAACTCGCTGGACCCTAAACCATGACCTTCATTGGCAAGCCAATCAGCTGCAAAGTTTGCTTCCCTGTACAAGTGGGCATACAGGACATTCAACTTCCACTTGCTGCAAATCAAATAATATTCATTAATGATGCTTTTAATACTCCAAGGAGGGGTATCCCAACCCTTCAGACAGTCGATTACATGCTTTGAGCCACCTTCAATTATAACATTAACGTTGGTAAACAACTTTGCCATAGCATAGGCTTCAAAAGCTGCCCAAGCTTCTGCTACATTAATGAAGAAAAAGCCAACAGATTTACTACAAATTTTGAGGATGTGCCCTGATTCATCCCTAGCTATACATCCAATGGCTGAGGACCCATCAAATTTCTTTGAAGCATCAAAGTTTATTTTGATATATGCGGTCCTCGGGGTTTCCCATCTTACCCAAATTCTTTTTTTAAGAGGAGTAACCCCAGGTTTACCCTCATTTAACACTTTAAACTCTAAAGCCTCCTCTCTAGCCTTATCAGAGACAAGGGAGGCAGACATATGTTTTTAAACAGCTTAAAATTTCTATTTTTCCACAATCTCCACAGGACAAAGGCCATCAGCTCTCTCAAATTTCTTTCTGTCCTCTATCATTTTGGATTCTTACTCACCAGTCTAAAATTGAGTTATCCACATTTGAGGGGGCCAAATTTGAATTTTCCAAAACTCTCCAGATTTGCCTAGCATAATCACAGTTAAAGAATATGTGAGTACTATCCTCCCTCTCCCCCCAAACCACACAATCTTCATCAATGTTTAGACCCCTTCGCCTCAGGAAGCTATAGAGGAAATTGGATTTAGAAAAAGAAGGAACAAAAAACACTTTATTTTTGGGGGGCAATTAATAGTCCATACTTTCTTAGTTCAGTAATACTGGGTGTGGTGTTGGAATTGGCCAAAGCTTAGACTGAATATGCTAACTTAATAGAGAATTCCCCTTCAGATTCAATCTCCAAATCAATTTATCATCCCTACCATTCTAGGGAATCATCATTGGCCTTATTTTCTTCCACAGATTATTCCAATTCTGGCTTTTCTTCGATCTTTGGCTTTAACAGAGGGTTATAAGACTGAAAGTTTGAATCTTTTTAGCTATTATCCCATAATTTAACAATGGATGTGGCACTAAACAGAACAAATGGAAAAACAGGGTTCATGTAGCCGACCCCATATAGTTAGAATAAGGCTTAGATGATGATAATGATGATCCCATGCCTTCCCTATCTTCTTTTTTTTTTTCGAAGCAGGTAAAGTATTGAATTGTATTAAAGTAAGTAGCAGCCCATGTACAATGAGAGCCTGTACAATGGGAATATACAGAGTGTCAACAGAAGAAGGGCCCAGCTTGCAAAAAAGAGTAAAGTTGGACACCCATGAATGCCCTTTGTACACTTAACCAAGAACACAAAAAGCCTATATCCTTGTTTTTTACTGAAACTACACCAGAAAAAGAGTTGTAAAAAATTCAACTGTTCCTTTCCTTCCAGAGGGCCAAAAATGTCAGAAGGGAAAGTCCTCCAAAGCAATTTACCCTTGTTGTTCAAACCCTTAAGAGACCATCCTTGCAAGAGCTGAAGGGCCAAATCAGGTAGGCAAGAATGGACTCCAAAGCAGGAGAAAGCCAAATCCCACAGCTGGAAGGAGAATCTGCAGTAAATGAACAGATGGTTGGAGGATTCAGGAACTGCATTGCATAGAGGGCAAAGGATGTTTGGTAGGGGAATCCCCTTTCTGAGCAGCCGATCAGTGGTAAGATATTTACCCAACACAGCAGTCCAAACCAGAAAGGAAACCTTAGAAGGGGCATGCGAATTCCAGATCAAGGCCCATGGGAAGTCAGTACCCTCACATGGAAGCAAGTTAATGTAGAATGACCGAGGGGATCCATATCAAGTATTAATAAAGGATATTGATCTTTTGAGACTCATAGCTCCTTGTTCATCCTTCTGCAAAACACCCTTTTCAATTGTTCATTCTTCTTGGTTTTTTCAATTAAAGCAATTTGCCCAATCCTACTCTAAGAATTAGGGCCTCTTGCCAGGTCATAACACATGAAAATAAACACTTGTGAGATGCCTACAAAGAATGAAAACACTTCTCTGTAAGGATACTGGAGAGTTTACATCACTTTTAAAACTTAAAAGATGATACAAGAGAAAGGGGGAGGGATAAGCTCTCTTAACCCTCCCCAACAAATTACACAAGCTTACAACAATTCCCAAAACAAGTTCCCCCTTCCCACCCCTTGTTTAGCAAGTACATCAGCAAAGGAGTTAACACTTCTCCTTACCCACTGAAATCTCACTTCCATATTCTGGGTCTACCATTTAAACCTTCTTTTTTTTTCATTTACATAATGCCAGAACCCAATTTCCTCTTTTTGTAGCCAATTAATCACCAACTTAGAATCACTTTCAACGATCAATCTTCTAATGTTTAGCTCTTTTCCCCTTTGAACTCCTTCCAATACAGCCATAATCTCAGTTCTAAGTGAGTCGTCTGTACCAATTGGTCCTGAGAATAATTGAACAACTTTTCCTTCATCTCTGAAAACACCTCCAATACCTAAACGACCCAGGTTGCCTTCATTAGTCCCATCAAAGTTCAGCTTAATGAAACCTTCATCTGGTAGGGGATCAAAGAGGCCTGATTTCAGCCTTAGAAGGAACAGAGTCAGCCACTTCCTTCCAATTGCTAGGTAGAGCATCTGTAGAAATATCCTCGAAAATTTCCAAGCATTTCACCCACTGCACCACTTCGATAGTAATGATTTCAGAGTTTACATCACTATTTTGTTATTTGTTTCTTATGTCTCTAGAATAAGAAACAAATAACAATACATCACTATTTTGTTATTTGTTCCTTGTGCCTCCAGAATATGAAACCACACTTTTTTTTTTTTTTTTTTTTGGGGGGGGGGGATCGGAGTATATAGGCTTGAGTTATAAAGCCAAACTGTTGGATAGATTCCCACTCCGCATGGTGGGATCTCTCCAATGCTGAAGTAGCTGCCATTTCTAATTTCTTATTCAATTTTTTAGATCAAAATGTAGTTTTCAGATGTGATGCATCCAGATAATATTCCAGAAAAACAAGTGATAAACAACGATAAACCAGAACAATGGAAGGCACAAGACTGCATCACTAAGGCCACTCAAATAGCAACTGAAATGCCCATGATACAAATTCTGCTACTGTAACAATTACAGTCTCATACAGCCAAGGCTACTCTAACATATATCCCTTTAGTGCAGATATGCCCATAAATGGGTTAATTTTTTCTTGTGTTACACTATTTATCTTCAAACGTTTCAGATATGAGAATAAATGGGAAGTAACAATGAATCAACCATCAAGCTAAGACTCAACCAGATGGAAACAAAAACAAATTTAGTCTGACTTTAGCAGTTTGGTTTATATAGGTCAAAGAAAATGTGTGATCTGATTATTCAGGTCAAAGCAAGAAGTGCAAATTTGTATGTGACCATTTATGTGTTTCTGTGTGTGTGTGTGTTAGAAGAAAATAAAAACAGTAATAAAAGTTATGATTAATCAAGGAAAATATAGCAGAAAATAGAAGAAGTTCAAAGCAAAAGAGAAGAGAAGAAAGTGGAAGAAAAGGGAGATGGAGAAGAGAGAAATGTAACTCTCCCCAGTCCCCTAATCGATCTTTTAAGAATATGAAATTACACAAATACCCTTAACAGGGCAGCAGCATAGTGAAAATAAAGATAAGCAGTTAACAGAGGCCCACACAAGTAAGGCCCATCATCTCTACAGTCAGTGTTTGTGTATGTGTGAGAGAGAGAGAGAAAGAGTACCATGGACATATATAGGTTTCTGTGACAATCCAAGAGCAGACATATTTGCACCCAAAATTTGAATATCCCCTTGAAGATCTTCAGGAAAACTAGATATCTCCAAAGTGGCATGATTAAGTGTTTTCAAGAATGACAAAGGAGCTTCAAAAACTCTGGCAACTTTTTCATCTGCTCCACTGACAAAACGGTGATTCCCTTTTCCTTGAATGATTGCTATACAATTAATATCATGACCATGAACTTGAGGACGAGCAATTTCATGCCAATAAAATCTGTCTCCCAGGCCTACTTCATTTCTCCATGGAGCAAAAATACGAGCGGTCTGCAATATTCTAAAATTTCAATATTAGTATGCCGTCATTCAGTGAATTCAACCTAAATATACATGTAAATGATTCCATATTATCCAATTGTAGAATGTGAGACATTTTATCCATCTAATTTGAAAAGTACTAAAAACAGACTTAAATAAGTTTTCACAATAAATAAGGTGTTTCTTTCATATGCCTATGTGAGTGAAGACACACCCTAAAACTATATATGATGGAATAAGAAATTAAGAATCAAATGAATTCCCATTATGTTTTAATTGCAGACTAGAATTAGAAAAGAGGAAAACACCTTCATAGACATTGTAAAGGTTTTGATAAGACCATAAGTGTTAAAATATAATAATTTAACGACCATACTTTAGCAAGAGAGATTTGAGGAGTTTCATAACTTGAGAGACAACAGGACTAGCTGCATTATAATAATTTTTTATCAGTAAACTGCATCATAATAATTTGATGATAATGGTGCTCAAGCAGGCCTCTCATGGAGTTAATTCCTACTCTTTTCCTGGCAGCTAGGGACAGAAATGCTTTGATTGCTGATTGCTTTCAGATTGATAACAACCAAGTAGTGCAGAATCCAGTCTTCAGAAGAAATTTAAGTAACTGGGAAGTGGATGACCTGATGGAGCTTCTCACTGCCATCCATAAGGTCAAGCTGGTGGTGGATCAAGAGGAAAAGAGGGTTTGGAAGCCTGAAGCATCTGGGGTCTTCTTGGTGAAGTCTTTCTACAAATATTTCCTTGGCCATTCAGTATGTGTGCTACCTAGTTCAAAGATTTGGCTTCCTCAAATACCCTCAAAGGTGGTTTTGATGATCTGGTCAGCAGTTACAGATAAGTGTTTGACTGAGAATAGTTTAAATAGAAGACATGTTCAGGTAGGATCATTAAACTGTGGTCCCTGCCAGTCAGAGGTGGAAACTGCTGACCACCTTGTTGCTTCCCTCATGCCTTGTGGTCAAAATTTTGGAGCTCATTTTGTGAGGGAGGCAATGAGGAAGGAGTGGTAAACCTAAAGTTGCTATTGGATAACTTTGTGGGGTGACAGGTCTAAGGATAAATTGGACCAAAACTGGCATTATAGGGGTTAATCTGGAGGAAGGGGAACTCCATAGATTCGCTGAGATTTTGGGGTGTGAGATTAGAAGTTGCCAATTAGCTACTTGGATTTACCTTTAGGAGGAAACCTTAGATCAGAAGGGTTCTGGAAGTCAGTCATTGAAAGATTTTTTAGGAAGCTAGCTCTATGGAAGAGGAATTGTATTTCTCTAGGTGGAAGGATAACCTTGATTAAAGCCACTTTGGCGAACCTCCCTATCTACTTCCTTTCAACCTTTAGAATACCCTGTAGAGCAGCAAGGAGCTTAGAGAAATACATGAGAGATTTCCTATGGGACCCAGGAGAGGAGAGGAGAGGAAGTTTCACCTGATTAATTGGGAACAAATTAGAAAGCCCAAGGATCAAGGGGATTTGGGAATAGGAAACCTTTCACTTAGGAACTCAGCTCTGTTAGGAAAGTGGATGTGGAGATTCCCTTTTGAGAGCAACAGACTGTGGCACAAAGTCATTGAGAGTATTCATGGTTTGGAGGGACCGATGGAAATGATTGGGATGCAAAAGTTGCCCCTCATGTTTCTTCAACTTCTCCTTGGAAAGCAATTTATGAAATCTACCCTACCTTCCTTAATTCCATTCAACTTTATGTGGGATGGGGCAATAAAGTTCATTTTTGAGAAGACCTTTGGGTGGGAGAAAGCCCACTTAAAGATCTTTTTCCTTACCTCTATACTTTGTCAAATCTTAAAGGGGAAACTGTATGTAATTTGGGAACTCCTGGTCCAAATGGGGTCAATTGGAATCTGGGTTTCAGAAGGGGCCTCGGGGAAAATGAATGTGACTCTTTAGTTCAGTTGTTGGATCTAATAGGACAAGTTCACTTGGACCCATCCTTGGAAGATTCCAGAATTTGGAAAGGCTCTTCAAATAGCCTATTCTCTTGCTCTTCCTTTTTTAGTGTTCTTGCTTCGCCTAGCATCCCAGTTGGGGATTTCCCTATGAAAGAAATTTGGAGTAAGCCTATCCCCCCAAAAATTCAAGCTTTCTATTGGGAAATTTTCCTTGGCAAGGTAAATACTTGTGATATGCTGCAAAGAAGAAGGCCTTTTGCTTGCCTTTCTCCTCATATGTGCTCCCTTTGTAAGGAAAGTGGTGAGTCCCTGGTACATCTGTTATTATCTTGTTCCTTTGTGCATTACGTTTGAGAATTTTTTTGTACTCTCTTTGATTGTTGGTGGGCTTCCCCTCAAGGTGTGGTAGGACTTTTCAACTAGACCTGTTCATGGGCCGAGCTCGGGCTTGCCTTTTGTTAAAATTCTAATTGTCCCAGCCCGAAGCCCAAGCCCGAGACAGTGTAAAGTTAGGACTGAAGCCCGACCCGTGAACAGGTCTATTTTCAACCGAGACTTCCTAAGCCAACCAAAGAAAAGAGGGAAGGTTATGTGGAAAGCTACAAAGGTAGCTATTTGTTGGGTGATTTGGGAAGAAAGGAATAATAGAATATTCTTGGAGAAGAGTAGAACAGTGGAGGAGGTGATAGACACCATAAAAGTTAAAGTAGCTCATTGGGTAAAATCTTTGAATATCTTCTAGAAGTAAGGATGGAATAGAAATCTCCAGAAGGCGGTAAAATTAAACTGAATTTTGATGGAGGCTCTTTGGAAATCCAGGACTGTCAGGTACCGGAGGAGTAATCAGAAATTCTAAAAGGAGAATATTAGCTTTGTTCTCTAGACTGATTGGCATTGGTAACTCTCTAAAAGTTGAGTTAATGGCATTGCTACAAGGGCCGAAGATAGCTAAGCAGCTAGGATTGAGGCATATTGAGGTTGAAGGGGACGCCAAGGGGATCATCTCTTGGGCTAAAAACAATAGAAGTACTCTGTGGACTTTCAAACAAGTTATAAGGGAAGTGGAAAAGGTTGCAAAGGAGGTAGAGGTTGAATTCAAATGGGTTAGAAGGAGTGCAAATGGGCTAGCTGATTATCTTGCCAAACAAGGGGCTTTGAGGCAACAATTGTTTTGGGCTGCAATGTAAAGTGGGACAGAAATATGTACTAGTGTGGGAGCATTAATCCCATACACAAAGCTGTAAAATTTAAATTTAACCCTAAATTCAAATAAATTTCTCTTTTGCTGATCAAAAAAAAAAAAAACGGAGCTCGTTTGGAGATCAAGGTTGCCTTCCAGCATCCCTTCATGATCTGGCTAATCAGTTGTTACCTTCCTAGTCTGCCTAAAAGAGGAAAATTAGTAAGAAAAAGATGGAATGCAACAACAGGCAGAGTCAAGGTGCACATTGCAAATTTGCAACAACTATAAACCAGAAACACCGTAAACAAAGGAAGAAAAGCAAATCCATAGAACTACAAATGAATGGGTTACCTGGTCATGACTAACTGAAAGAATGTATTCACCAGATCGGGCCCATGAAATATCTGAAACTGCTGCATAATGACCAGATGGAACTTTCTGTGGTTGCCAGTTATCATAGTCAGAACCAATATTTTTCCAGAGATGAAAAGACCCACCATATCCATGAGCCAGAATTGAATCTCCAGATGGGCTCCAATGGCCACCATAAAACCCTAGTGCACAATGACTTAGTTCCCCCACGGTAACTACATTCACCCAGATACCAGTTGTCCTTTCAGGTTGCCAAACCATCATTGTCTTGTCCATAGACGCAGATAAAATGCTAAGGGGTTGATAACAATCATTTTCCCCAGCAGCTGCACAAGAAGGGGGTTGCCACTCCACTGAATACACCCAATCTTCATGTCCAATAAGCAGAGATTCCAGAGATATCTGATAGGATGAAGAACCAGCTACAAGCAAAGGACCTTCAATATAAGACGTTAAGCCTATATGTTCTTTCCGGCATGGCACCTTGGGATCAGCTGAAGATACATTCAAAGTGATCTTCCATATTCGTATGCTTCTATCCTGAGATGAGCTTACAAGGAAAAGGCTATTCTTTTCACCATTTGTCCAAATGGGTAATGAAAAGTCCAAACTTCGGATCCAATCAGTATGACCTTTCAATTCACATGCATGAACAAACTGGAAAAAGAGAACTATGTCAACTGACTGATAACAAATACAAATATATAAGGAGAAACAAAGGCACAGATGTGTTTACAAACCTTCCCTATCCTCTCCCCACAGTAAAGATGAACCTTGCTATCTAGACCCCCCATTGCTAAGACTATATGCCCACTACTCCCTGGCAATTCTGCTAATGAAAGCGCAACCATAGGTTTCGTGCCCACAGAAAGAGCTTGTAGGCATGACAATTTACAATCACCTACAATAACCACATGAGCATTTAACAAAAATAAGATCTAGTTGTTTCTAATGCAACAATGGCATTAAGTACCCTGATTTCTTCTGAACCTATAGTGGATAAATTGCAAGTATTAGCAACACTTTCAGACATTGAGAGGCCAATTCTATTATATGGTCAGTTCTATTATATTGTAGAGAAAAGAAAATTAAATGCATGAAAAGTGAACACAGAGTCGATGGATGTTGGTGCTGAAAATTTCAACCACATAAACAGGACAACTTCTCTTTAGCAAATAACAACATCTGTAACAACTAAAGAGTAGGGACCATGCCCATTACAACACACTCTACTGAACCTTTACTATGGACACTTTACATGATCTACAAAGCAGTGTAACATATCATTAAGTATTGCCATACCTCCAATAGTAGATGGAAAGATCATTTCCCATATATTAACAGTACCATCTGAAGAGGTAGAAGCAAATAGTGCAACATTGTGTGAAACCACAATTGCAGTGATGCATGTAACACCTTTCTTGTGCAGCTGTGGCACTTGTAATACATGTTTCCACTGTGAAAAAATAGTAAGCAGAAGCCAATTAGTTTTTTAAAAAAAAGAAAAGAAGGGGGAGAGAGAGAGGATCTGACCATGACATAGTCAGCTAGAATCCAGTAAACCACATCATCAGAAGAAACAAATTTTGAAGGTAAGTGTCAAATGCCAACTGGCTACAGCAGACAGGGGCAAACTCTCAATAAAATCTAAGTTGGTGGACAAAATTGACCATCAGAAAAAACACAACAAGGACTTAGTGAGGTGTTCTCCAGTAGGAATTAAATAGATACCCACGTAGAAAAGAATCCATCTGGAGCTACAATTCTTAGCTGCTAACTTGACAGAATATTCAGTTCTGAGCATCAAAATAAATGAATTATCCTTTGGAGTTATCTTATAATGATGGATGTTAGCCTGATGAAAGACCTCAGACTATGGTAACTTTAAGAGAATGCAGTATAAGAAGCCCAAGATTAGGCTAGCACAATATGAAATTTATCAATTTGTATGCTTATTTGAGGAATAAGTGTGATACTTATGTCCTCTATGCAAGAGCTTACAAAGTTCAATTGTGGAAGAACTCCAAGCAAGTAAGTACCTTTCTGTCCTTAAGAGAGAATTCCCATAAAATGATGACACCATCAGTGTCTCCCGAAAGCAGAAAATGTTGTTCTAGATGTTGCACTGTGGAGAAAAATGAGATCTATTAGTTCAGAATCCAATTTCATTTAACTAGAATGACTGACACAAACGACCTCAAAAGTAGAAAATGCATTAAATTAGAAAGAGTAGGATAGAACCCAGTTCCTCTCATATCTTAGGATATACTCCTATAATTATCAAGTTAAGCAGAGAGAGGGAAATATAGATTGTCAACCTGTCATCATTTTCTGACCAGGCAAGTAATTTGCAAATTTCCTATCACGATGATGTATCAGAATTTATCTGTAAAAGTTCTTCAGTAGATTGATTGTGGTTAAGCAAGGATGGTGAACTGGGAACATCCCATTATTCAAGAATGATGAACACCCTTAATCATTAGACAAAAAGAATATATTTTTAAAACAAAAGTAACTTATCATTGTAAACAGAGGTATTTCTTGTCTTCTCACTGGGAATGTGCCGGTTTATAAAAAATAGGATGTGCCTAATCAACACCATTAAGCGTTCTTTCTCCAGTACACTGGTTGAGTTCATCAAGATATCGTGCATCAGTTTCTTTTTCGGTAGTGAACTTAAACTTGTTCCATTGAATGTTGTTGAACTTGCAAGACTGAAACTAAATAATAGCATACGTTCAAACAGGAACAGGAAAGATTATACCTTTAAATGCATCCTTACTACTTGGAAGCCATTGAGTACAGTTCACAACAGCCTTGTGCCCAGGAAGAGTAGTCAAAATTTGGGCAGTCTGTAGAAAATAATAAAGAAAAATGCTGACTCTTCAATCCAACATAAACAAACCCAACCTTAAGTAAACGCATAAGAATCTGACAGTGAGGTATAATTGAGAAGTAAAAGAAAACTTGGAACCTTGGGGGAGAAAATAGCGACTGCGTTTTGAGCACCAAAGGAGACTAAATCACAGGCGCCCCAGGAGACGTTGTTGACGATTCTATTGCACCCAGCTCCTATGAACACCGTCTCCACTTCAACGCCATCCGAAGACATTGTCGTTTCATCAACTTCAGTGTGTGTGAGAGAGAGAGAAAGAATATCTTTTTTCAGCTTATACCAAAACAAATGGCTTGCAACTGCGGCGTCATCAATTAAACTAGTGATAGTAGAGAGGGAAAAGGATAGCAGAGACGATCGGCTACGCTTGGGCGTCGCTGCTCAGTAGCCGGTTTGGCGGCAGTCACCCTAAAGACGAAACCGTGGAGCATCCATCAATTTCCGATTCAGAAAGTGTTTGGATGCAGGGTTATCTTTTCCCCTTAAGCCTATAGACAAAAGCCCTGAACCGAACTGAGACCGTGTTTTGTATGCAGGTTTTCATTTTCTCATCAAATACCGATTCAGTAAGTGTTTGGTTGTAGAGAAAAGTGGGATGAGAAAAGATTAGATGAGGAAGTAAATTTATTTTCCCTTTTTGGCATAGCATCATGTTTAGTTGTTGAGATCAAATATCCAATAAAATTTGTTTTTCGGTGTTTGATTGTTGAGAAAATTTTGCAATATGCTTGGTTCTTGAGATCAAATATCCCATAAACCTAATGTTTATGGGATGGCATGGCATAAACGAAACTTGTCACATGGTAGACAAGGTAAGGATGCAAATAGATCGGATCAAATTCGAATCAGGGTATATTTGAATTCGTTCTAACATTGTTCATGGCGAATCTAACCCAATCCCAAGATCCGATCGGATTTGATAGGCCTCAATCTGAATTCGAATCCTATCGGTAAGTCGAATCTTCAAATCTAATCCGATATGACTTGTTTTCTTTTAAATTTAATAAATTATTAATAAAAAAAATAAAATATCAATTTAAATAAAGAAAAAAACAAAAATATAAGTATATTTTAATTATTTTCATCACATATATACATGTTTTTTATAAAAAAATAGATAAATAATATAACAAATTTATAAAAATGCAATATAAATAATAGTTTTATAATTAAATAACATATATTTGTATTATATATATATATAAACATATAACATATATCGGATCGGATAGGGGTGACCTGAATCTAATCTAATTTATGTTTGGATCCTATTACCCGATTCGATCTGATTCGAAGATCCAAATAGGGGTGGTTCGAATTCGACCAAATAGGATTAGATCAGATCATGATCATGATCCCATCCATTTGCACCCCTACCATGTGGCATGCTAACATGACGAAATTTATAAAAAAATGTGAAAATTGTAAATATGGCCTAATTATAGTATTAAGTTAAGGGCAACTTTCTTAAACTACCCTTAAGGTTTAGGAAATTGATTAACTATATCCTACTATTTTAGTATTGTCTTAAAATACCCTTACCATTTCTAATAATTGTCCCACAATTCCCTTCCTATTAAGTCTCCCTCATAAGCCGTTTACACATGACTTCACATGTTTGATTTAATTTTAAATTAAATCCAAAATATCCTTTTAGGCAAAGATCACCATCTTCTCTACTCAAATCAGTGGTGGCCATCATCCTCTCTCTCTTTCCCTATACTCCCAATGATATGGAAACACTCATCTAGTTCCGCTCCCAGGCCGATGCACACAACCACCTCCGAGCCAATTAGACCACTTGCGACATGGCAACACTTGTATTCACAAACCAAAGCGCACTAAGACGGGGATCTCGTTCACTTCCCCTGTTTCATTTCTTTGTGTATTCTGGTTACATATAACAGAGGTGTCCAAGGAGATGAACGTGTTTGTGTATGTAACAAGGAGTGAACGTGTTTGTATCCGTAAGTTTTCAAGCTGGAAGATATACGACGGTAAGAGTATCCCAAAGCCTCCTGTAGCTCTAGAGAGAACCGACTTTGTCAGCCTCTAGGTCCAACAAAATCCCACAAGCTTAGCCTCCAGCTTTGGCTCCAACTCTCGTTGATCACCGGACCACAAGAAGCCCTCCACCTCCGGCCACTCTCAACTCTCAAAAAGTGTTGTTTTTCGGCTATCAATTTATTGGACGAAGAAGCTCTCTTCTCCAGTTCCGGCTCTCGTCGAAGACCGAACCACAGGGAAGAAACCCGCCATCTTTGGATTCTTTCCCGTTATCTCTCTCATTCTCTCTCCCCTCCTATTTCACTTCCCCTATTCCACCACCGCCGCTACAACTTGCAGTGGCAGTGCTCGTCTTGAACGTGTCTACCTGCAATAGTCAAAGTTATTGCAGCAACGACTCTTTCCTATATCTTTCTCTATCCTTCTCTCTTTCCCTCTCCCCTCCTATTTCACTTCCCCTATCCAAAACCCACCTCACTATTAGGGGTGACCACAAGCCGAACTCTTCACGAGTGACTTGAGCTCAATTCATGAAAAGCTTGATTCGGCTCAGTTTCAACTGAGCTTTGAGCCAAGCTTCAGCCAAATTTACAGGCTCGATTAATAAACGATTTGAGCTCAAACCTAATAAAGCTCAGCTCGTGAAGCTATTATATATATAATTATAGAAAATAATATATAATTAAAATATTATAATTCTTAATTTTTAAATATCAAGTAAAAAATATTTTTTCATATATAACTTTTTATTTTTATAAAACATTTTTTCTCAAGTCGAACTGAGCTCGAACTCGAGCCTTGTACTACCTTGGTGAGCCAAGCTCGAACCTCATACTATTCAGCTTGGCTTGACTCGAATCCACCCCTACTCACTATTCTCCTCTTATTTCACTCAAACAGGTACCTTCTTATTCTGGCCGTGGTATCCCTGAGCTCCTCTCTCTGCTTGTATTTCTTCTTTCATCTTAGAAGAGAAGAAATCCAGACCCCATTAATCATGGCTGCTGGCATCTCGGAACAAAAGCCTCACAAATCTAGACCTCATTGTTTCTAAAACATTTATGGGATGAGAAGAACAAAATATTTTCGAAAAGTGGCAGAGATTCGGTTCAGTGGTTTATTAGTGGCAAGGCTTGCCGTCGTTCAAGAAAGAGAGGCCCTCATCGCCAACCATCATCAAGCTTCAAATTGGCTTTCGCCCAACCACAACCTCGCCCACAAGACCCTCATCCACCACGGCACCACCTTCGTTAATCTCCCTTTAGCTCTCGCATCCAACTGTGTCATTCCCAACAACCAACAAAACATCAATGCTAATTGAACCGCTTGATGTCACGAGTCGAACCGTTTGATACAAATGGTTGAATGCTTAACCGGAAACCAGTCCTTGACCGGTTTTGTTTCCGATTCATTTTTAAAAAACTTGCCTAATCTAATTGCTCTGTCGGTTCAATGATTGGGATGGGGTAGTCGTCGCTAAACCCAAGAACTTTCCCAGATCGCTAATCTTTCCATAGTTCGTATGAGGTTGTAGTGGGTTGGGAGTTGGGACGAAAGTACGACAGACCGAGTCTGATCTCACAGTGGACGCTAATGTCTGGGTTCTCACTGGGAGTTTCTCTAGTCCTAACTATATACATATCTGAAGCAAGTGGTTCCATTTCTTCAGGAAAAACCGGGAAAGACGAAGGGAAGAGAGGGATGTTGATGGTAAGAAAGATAGTCAATTTTCTAAACCTTAGGGGTGATTTAAGAAATTTACCCTTAAGTTAATTTTCTACCAAAAAAATAGTATTAAGTTAATAAAAGTAGCTCATAAAAATACTACAATAAAAAACCATTAACATGTAACACAGGGTAAATAAAGAGTTCAAATAGAATAGATGTAGAAAATCTAGACAAGAAACAAATACATATCTACAGATTTATTAGCTATTTTAATATATTTTACCTAAAATCTCTCTCTACAACCCACGTTGCTCACTCTCTCTACTCAAATAACTATTCTTCTTAATTAGCTCAACTCATCTCTCTCTCTACTCAATTAACTATTCTTCTTAATTAGCACAACTCTCTCTCTCTCTCTCTCTCCTAAAACCTCTCCACACTCCTAATTTATTGTTCTTAAAACTCTCCTAAAGTCCTAATTCCTAAAAAACATCTCCTCACTTCCCTACTTCTAACTAAGGCACGTCTCCTCTCTCTCTCTCTCTCTCTTTGATCCATTTAACTAAAGTGATGTGGTTTATTGGATTGGGTATGGTTTGGTTTTCATTAATCCGACCTAGTTACAATCCATTTACCTACTGTTTATGATTAAAAATGTCATTTTATTTTATTATCTCATACCAAAATAAATTAATTATTTTCGTGATTAATTAAAAATTCCCAAACAGTATTACTATTTTTAATAATTAATCATTTTCATTTTAGTAATATTTTTGGGATTAATTACTAATATTGTCAACAATTTACTAATAGCTTACCAAAATTAATTAATTATTTTTAGGATTAATTAAAAAGTACCAAAATTCACTTAAATTCTATTATTTATGTCCATGATTTATTAAAAGAATCCAAAAATTAATACCAAAATATATTACTATTTGTAGTATTTAATATTAGTGATATATTAATAATTCATGATTAATTAATTAGTGATATATTACCAATAAATTAATTAATTACCAATAATAATTAATTGTTTTATTAATATCATAATTTAAAAATTAATAATTTTTCATGAATAATTAAATTGATTGTTAAATTAACTATTATTACTATTAATAATAGTAATCTATCTATAAATGGAAATATTTTTATAAATTAAGAATTATAAAATTTATTAATTCATAATTGAGAATTATTAACTATAATTATAAATTTATTAATATTTTTAAATATTAATTATTAACTATTTTTTGAATAATTAAGAAATAGCATAAAATATTACTAATTTAGTAATTAATATTACTATTAGTAACTATAAATTAAAATTAGTGCTATTAATTACTAGGGGGGACCCTTAAATGCCCGAATTTTGTTAAAAGAATTTGAGGCAAAAAGAGCCAGGGGTGTACTAGTGTACCTTGGGTTGGGTGGGCCTAAATCAAGTCCAGTCTATATCAACCCAAGCTTTTGCATAATTTGGGCTTAAGTTTTTGAACATCAAGCTGAGTTTATGCCATAAAACTTAAAGCTAAGCTAAACTCAGGTTCGGTTTGAGTTGAGGCCTTGGGTAATTTAAACTTGACCTAACCCAATTTTATCAATATGTTATACCCGGAAACTGGGCTATAAAGCTCAATATGCCCAAGCCTAAGTACAACCAAGATGTTAGGTTAAGCTCAGGTTGGGCCTAAATTAGTAAACATGGGCCTAGGTTAGTAAATTATCAGTAATTATTGAAAACTATCACTAATTTTTCTCTTACCAACCTAGGCCTAACCTGAGCTTTAACCTAACATCTTGAGCTAGGCTTGGGA